CCAAAGTTGCTTGGCGCTTCATCCTTGAAGGAATCAAGCTTTGAACATCGTCTTTTCCTGCTAGACTGTCGAGCTTCTCTCCCTTTGGCGTTGTCTTCCTGTTTTTAGAAGGCTTCTTAGTTTCTTCAAATCTGTCCAAAGCCGACCGTTGCGGAGGAGATCTAGCTGTGCCGCTTTGTTTCTTGGGTTTTGATAACCTTTCAAAGACTGATCTTTGCGGTGTTGGCGTCTCAAGCCTTTTGAAGACGGAAGTTTGGTCTCGACCACTGATGCGATCAAGTGCTGCAATTCTAGGTTTTGAATAATTCAGCCTTTCGAAGACTGAAGTTCGAGGGGTGGGTTTAGGCTCCTCTTTTGGCCTTGTGGCTTGTGGTCTTGGCTTCCTCATTTTTTTTGTAGGTCACCAATGTCCACCCTTTCTTATCACCAGTAGATGCATCTTGGTTGCTTGCCCCCGGTGATGGTTGTGTAGGAGGTGCCATGTGACTTGAACATTGACGGGAATGATCATGCATGCTTCGGAGATGCACAGGATCGAGTGATTCAAACACGATAGTAGTAGTGTGTGCCGCCACCGTGTCTTCGAGGTCAAGCTCGATTTCCCCTTGCTGTGCTAGCTTCAGGATGAGATCTTTCAGTACGAAGCACTTTTCCGTTGGATGACTGATGAAGCGGTGAAATTTACAGTATCTTGGGTTGTCGGTACGATTCATCTCTTCCGGCCGTCTGCACACTCGGGCAAACTGATCACCTTCTTGTCCAACAGGTCATCCAGCATGGCAACTACATCAGAGTCGGGGAATGGATAAATCTTCTCCTCAAGCTCCTTCAAAGTGCGTCTACGCATCTCTTGATCACGAAAAGCTTCGGTTTGAATCACCTTGCCTCGTGTGGAGATTTTGACGGGAGCTGTGTTGACCGTCATCGCTTCCCTTGGTGGGTTTCCATGCGGCCTTTTCCACCTTTGTCCCAAGAACTTTGTCGTTCTTGTAGTCGGCGATCGGTTCTTTCTTCCCATGATGGGCGATGCTCAACTCCATGTCATGGGCGCGAGTAGCCAATTCCTCGAAGGTCCGTGGTTTAATGCCTTGAAGGATGTATTGCAAACCCCATTGCATGCCTTGGATGCACATCTCGATTGAAGAAATCTCGGAGAGTCTGTCCTTACAGTCGAGGCTTAGATTACGCCATCGGTTGATGTAGTCCATGACTGGTTCTTCCTTCCATTGCTTCGTGCTCGTCAGTTCTAGCATGCTCACAGTGCGGCGGGTACTATAGAAGCGGTTGAGGAATTCCCGCTCTAACTGCTCCCAGCTGTTGATGGACTCAGGCTCTAGGTCTGTGTACCACTCAAAGGCGTTTCCTTTCAGCGAGCGCACAAACTGCTTGGCGAGGTAATCCCCTTCGGTTCCTGCGTTGTTGCAAGTTTCAACGAAGTGGGCAACGTGCTGTTTCGGGTTTCCCTTTCCATCAAATTGCATGAACTTTGGTGGTTGATAACCCCTCGGCATCCTTAAGGCGTCGATCTTCTTTGAATACGGCTTTGAGTACAACCCGGAGGTATTTGAGCTCCCTTCGTACTGTGCCTTGATGGTGTTGGTGATCATCTCTCTTGCAGCTGCTGGATAGAGAAAAGAGATCCCATGAGTGCCGCTGCTTGGTCTGGCTTCGGCTTTGCATCGTTTTTCTCCACCTGAGGCTCATCTTCTTCGTCATCTCTTCTCTTTAGTGGATCATTCTCTAGGTCGGGTTTATCGCCGTCCTGCGCCTCCAGTCGGTTGACTAGTGCTGCAATTTGCAAGTCTTTTTCTTCCACAGTTCGGGTTAGCCTTGCGATCGCTTCATTCATTTGAGCCAGTTGTTCTTCAACGGAGGTAACGCCGATAGTCATGACTTGTGCGACCAATAGACGTGACTTTCCTTTAGACATCCAGGATGCTGATGAAGAACATCGTTGGCTGCTTTGGGATGTCAACTTGTGTGCCTCAGCAGCATGCTTCGGTGCCCCCAACAGGGTCAGGTTGATGACAGACTCACACCTTTGATGCTCTCCTCGCTCTTTTAGCGGCACCAATTTTGAAGTGGCATGTTGAGGAGCGGTTGTGGCGCCAATGGATTGTCCGTTTGCGGCAGAAGTGCTTAGGATCCTTCCCTTAGTGGTTGCGAGAACGGCTTGTCCCTTGCTTAATGCCATTGACTTTGAGGTGTGTTTGGATTCTTTGAACGGAGAAAGAGATGAGAGGCAGAGATGGTCCCACTGGGCGTGCCAATTTGTGAACACGGAAAATTCCTGAAACGAAAGAGACAAGAACAACGTGCACAAACAAATATTATGTATTTGATGATGTTTTTGGGTTACAATCTCTCTCAAATTTATCCTCTGATTCGATCTCCGTAAGGTGTTGATTGGTGGGTGTTTCGTTGATCCAAGGGCCGTCGAGGCTTGATCTTGGATGAACAGTTGGAAGTTTCTTCAAAAGGCCGTGGGCTTGATCTTTGAAGGTGGATTTGAGCGGATCTTCAAGGGCTTTTGGGCTTGATCTTGAAGAAACAGTGATGAACAGATCTTCAAGGGCTTTTGGGCTTAATTTTGAAGATCGGTTGGATGTGTGGATTTGTCGACGTTTGTTGATCCAAAGGGCCGTTGGGGCTTGATCTTGGAAGAACGATGAACGAAGAACACTTTCTTCAAGGGCCGTCGGGGCTTGATCTTGAAGGTGGATGATTGCTGATCCAAAGGGCCGTTAGGGCTTGATCTTGGATGAACGGATGAACGAAGAACGAAGAAGGCTTTCGTGATTCTTCAGGAACTTGGATGCTTGAGAGCTTCAGAGTTTTAGAGCTTTAGAGCTTCAAGGTGTAATATGAATTCCCCCCCCCAAATGAATGAAATGGGCTTGTATTTATAGAATTTTCCAAGGCTTAATTTTGAATATAATATCCCAGATGAAATAAGTCGTTTCTGCCAAGTGTTGACACGTGTCCTATTTGATGACTTTTCCAACTCATTTCAATTTTCGTTGAGTCACACGCTACGTGTAAAATTTATGTAATACATGAGCGTTGACACTTTGATTTATCGGTCAACATTTATTTACCGAAATTTCGATGTCTACAGATACATAAAATAAAATAAAAATAAACGAGATACAACAACGTTAAATAATTTAATCTATGTCAAATCCAATGCAAGGATCATGAACAAGAAGAATTTAGTCTATTATCCAAGAATACTTCTCATTATGATTATACGCTTACTGTTTTTTAAATTTTGAACTTGTTGGATGGATGTACTTTGTGTATTCTTAGTATAGCTTTTTTTTTTTTTTTTGAAGTATAAATAAGCACTTATTTACAAGATATATAATAAATTTATATAAATCCGTCTAGCCACCTAGACGCTAGGCGTCTGCCGCCACCCGACTAGCACCTAGCATTTTTTAGAAATATTCAAATATATATTGTTTTATTTTTTCTTTTCGAATCTGTTAGAAGAAAGATTAGAAATGTTGCATCCAATTACTGATGTTTACCAGATATGTGCAGAGACAGTACTTTCGTTATTTAGTAGTTGGAGGGTAGGAAATTGAGGATCAATTGCTACATACCTTGTCTGCAACTGGTTCTGACTTCTGAGTCATTGAATTTTGTTTATGGCGAAATCGTTCAAAGCTGATTTTTATTTTATTTTTTTTCTTTCTATGTTTTTAATGTAACCTGAAGCTAAAAAAATTACAAGCGTAATTCTTTGAAGAGAAAAGTTCTGGAGTCCATCAGTTTGGACAGAAAAACTCAAAGAATTATTTGATTATTTCTTGAATTGATGAGTTACGTTGGAAGCCAAACGGCTTAAAAAGACATAAGCACAGCATAGTATAACCATGAGTCTTATTATGCTCTCAATTCTTTGCAAAAACGAGATATTATACGCACAAAATGACACCAGGATATTTCTCGATCTATTTTGTCGCCATATCGATTGAATCTAATATTTCTCAACTTTAATTCTTCTTTTCAAAAAATTTTCATCTTTCATCATGGAATTGTCTCATATCTCGTCTTACATCATACTCCTCCACTTGAAAAGAGCTCAATCTCGAGTTTGTCTTGAAACAATCTTGATAACTAGTAGACAACTTCCTTGTTAACCAAATGGATCCTTAAACTTGAGAAGCCCAACTTTCCGTGCACTTAGGTGGAATAATCATGAAATCAATTCCATAAACAAGATTGAAATATGCCAATGGGTAATCAAAATGTTCTTCCTTACCTAATGTAGAAGTATTATTGAAACTTAATTTTTCGACCCACTTTAAACAAAATAAAGTTCTAAAAATTAAAAAGTGATAAATTAAAGAGATTTCTTAATGTCACTAGTGAGCACCTACCCAACCATTTTTGTTGACAAAGAACACTCAATGACATTGTCACCGGAGAGCAACCGGAGGAAGGAGCTTTTGTGAGGACAAAGACGAGGCCTTGTCTTTGTGCGGTTGTTCTTTGATAAGAATCGGTATGGATGCAAAGAGAGAAGGAGGGGAAGACATATAGAGATAGACAGAGAGTAGAGAGAGAATTTGAATCCATCCTTGTCTGTCGTTCATGGTCTGGTGCGGAACTTAGCAGAGAAAGGGTGCTTGTCGTTACCACGTCGGGTAGGTGAATACGAATGCTGGTTCTTTGAGTTTTTTCCTTTGGCTTTTTGTTTAATTTTATTTGTTTCATATTAAAGATAAGTACACTGAGGTTATTTAGGAATCAGAATGGGTGAGAAAAGAGTATTTTCATTTTTCAATATTTATTGGTGGGGGAGAATATAAGGTGGGGTGAGACAATAGGACTGATGGGTGGTATTAGTAGCACTCTTCCATTAAATGGTAGCTCAGAGTGAATAACAATAGTGGGTAATAACTTGTGTTTATACTGTAACACGATGTTCATGGTATAATAATCAACGTTGATAATGCAACAAACAATATCATTCTATAACTTCAAAATGGTTTTGTAGCATAGGACATTAAACTTTTTATTATTATAGTAATTTTATTCAAACAAAGGTAGCAATACCCTTAGTAAGTTAGTATTTTTCCAACTAAAGCATCACTGAATGAAAAAAACATAAGAAACTTGAACTTATGCCATGAAGACAACAAGGGTAACACACAAATTACATGTATCGATAACATCAGATTTAGTTGTAGGCATCAGGGTTGGCCACGAGGTAGGCTTCAAGAAGCTTGAAGAGACCGGAAGCCTTCTCTTTGCCAGCCTTAACATGCTCTTCCTTGATCTCAACACCACCCTTGGTATGGCAGTGACTGGTGGTTTTGATGATGGATCCTCCATCAGGAGATGCGGTCAATTTGGTCTCATAAGCGATCTTCTCAATCTTGTCAGACAAGGCATCTCCTTCAATCATAGAGTAACTGTATGTAAAGTTGTGTTTGTCAATCCCATCCACCTTATGCTTAACATACCCGTATTGGCTGCCTGCAAATGAATTAAAACATAAATTAGTACAAAAAAAGTCATTAATAATTTTGAGTTCATTCAAGTGTAAAACATACGAACAGAGGAGGAGAGTAATGAGGGTTATTTAACCTTCACCAAAGGTAACTTTCTTGATGGTTCCAACACCTCCATCGCCTTCGATGATTTCAGTGCTTTTAATTGCTTGTGGAGCAATCTTCGGGATGAGGTTATCGCCATCAAGGATAAAAGCCTTGAACAATCTAGGTGCAGGGATGACAGAGGTGAACTCGGTTTCATATGTGAAAACACCCATGATGAACTTTGGATTTGGAAAATGATCAAAGAAAAAGAGTATATACTAAGACACTTGTCCAACTACGATGAGGTTTTGAGTTGGAGAGGAAAGAATGCTGTGGTTGGTATTTATAGATCACAAGTAAGAGACTGATGCTGTGGTGTGATGGCGGTCCTTCTTGTTTGTCTACCAGTTTATGCGAGTTGGTACTACAATTCTATCCAATATGTCCTAAACTGTCAAAAAGAGAGCACTAGGGGCCGAATTATTTTCAACACATGCCCTTTGACTCTGCACTAGACAAAAGATTGATTGGGATCGGGCTCCGGGTGGTCTTTAACTCTTTACATTTTAATTTTAATTTTCAATCCATTTGCAGTTTTTCAAATGGTTGGCCTTGAAGGTCAAATTAACTGAAAATTAACGGAAATATTTTTAAATGAACTGATGGATCTAATGTATGTATCGAATGGATATATCAAAATATATTAAATGAATTAATATTTGAATTTTCAATCCATTTGCAGTTTTTCAAATGGTTGGCGTTGAAAGTAGACCTGGCAATTTATGTCGTGTTTTATGTGTTCGTGTCGTTTTTGTGTCATACCCGATATCTTAACAAGTCGTGTCGTGTAAAGGTCGTGTCGTGTAACACTCGTTAAAGTAAACTGGTAAAATGACCTGAACCGAAATCGACCCGATAATATTAACAGGTAATATGACCCAACCCGTTACCCGTTAAGGAAAATATATTTTAAACCAATAAATAATCAAATGAAAAATATAATACTAAATAAGTATATACATACCATATTGTTACATTCAAAACATAAAAAATGCATTTTTCTCTTAAGTATATTTTCGCTTACCTAAATTGATCAAATGGTAAAATTGGAAAATATTGGAATAGAGAAGGGGTTTTTTCATCCAAAAAAGTTCTAATAATATAAGTGAAATAGAATCCAACGGTACAGATTTACTCTCATTTATTTTACGGCTGTTATTTAAGTAAGGTTTTTAATAATTTTTTAATTAATGTAGAAGTGTAAAAAATATAGAAAAAATATATAAACACTCGTAATGACAAACTTTACAACTTTCATGAAAAGCTTAACTTTGAAATTCACCATTATAATCATATAAATCATAGGTCAAAATTTAACCGTTGATTGTTATTTACATTTACGCTTCATTGTTCTCATCAAATTTTGTTTTTTTCAGATTTTCTTTTTTGAAAACATGATCTATTAGAAGATGCAAGAAGATGAACGATTTGGATCGTTGATATTATATTCAGAGTTTTATGGTTAGTAAAAATATTGCTTGATGTTTATAAAGTTTCTACAAACTATATGACATTGACTCATATTTCAATTAACCGTAAATATCAAAACGTGATATCAAAGATCTAAACTATTCATCTACTTACATCCGCCAGATGATCATGTTTTCAAAAAATAAAATTAAAAAAATAAAATTCAGTAAGAAAAATAAAGCGTAAATGACAATCGATGGTTAAATATAAATTTAAGGTTTATGAATTATAGTGTTGGATTTCAAAGCTGACCCCTTCATGAAAGTTGTAAAGCTTGTCACTATGAAAGATTGTTTTTGTTTTTTTTTTTACATTTTTTACACTTCTACAATAATTATTATTAATTTTGCCCTCAAATAAAAAATATTATTCATGAGGGTTTGGAGGATTTTAAAAATCTAAATGATAATGTAAGTGTAACCATTATCTGCTTGTGGAGGAATAATGATAAATCACGAGTGTTTATATATTCTTTCACAATTTTCATACTTGTATGTATGTCTTCTTAGTTCTTGCCTATACAAATACTATACTAGTTTATTTAATTTTGGACAACAACATGTTAAGTAAAATTTATCCTAGTAATGATAATAAGGAACTCTCATAATAAAAATAAATAATGACTAAAACCTTATTTTTAAACTTATATAGAATAATAATACAAAACTATATATTTAATATAGAATATATTGTATATATTAATAAGGCTATTGTATTTTATAATAAATCTTTTAGTAATTAAACTTTAAAATTATCAAAATCATTTTTTTCTTAACAGGTTACCCACATGCTACCCGCGTGTATACTCGTTAAGAACCCGTTATTAACGGGTCACCCGATAATGACTCGATTAGTTATCGTGTTGACCCGAAACCCGCTATTTTTTTGTCGAGTTAAAAATTGTCGGCCACTTCTTGATGTCATCGGCCGCAACAGCCACTGCGCCTCCCACACCTGCTACGATGTCGATGAGTGGAAAAATCATAGATGATTTCACCGGAAGGGGCGCCGTCGGCAAGGTCTGTCAGGTGATCGGAGCTGTCGTCGATGTTAGGTTCGACAAAGGGTTACCGTCGATCCTCACGGCTCTCAAGATCTAGGATAACTCGAAGGTGGGATTAGAGTTAGAGAGAGAGAAGTCCTGGATAAGGGTTTCTGGGTTTAGGGATTAGAGAGAGAGAGATGGAGTGTGTGTGTGTGTGTGTGTGTGTGTGTGTGTGTGTGTGTGTGTGTGTGTGTGTGTGTGTGTGTGTGTGTGTGTGTGTGTGTGCGCGATTTGGGGGTAGGGAAGACGATTTGGATTTGGGGGTTTTTGTCTTTTTTGTCTTTTCTTTAATTAATTATTTTAAATATTTTAAATATTTTATTAAGTGTTTAGCCACGTAGCATAAATGTGGCAGCCACGTCAGCACAAATAGTGACCTTTATTCGCCATGTCATCACGTAACGGTTAACGTAACATATTTTTTAATGGATGTATGAAATTAAAATAAAATGATAAGTAAATGTATGAAATTGAAATGTTTTAAAGATGTTGTAAGGAATTGAAATCGACCTCAAACCTGAGGGGGGTAAAATGTAATTTACCTTTGCTTTAATACTTCAACTGTAAGAATTGAATAAGCTGTTATTAGTGCATATTTAGATTGACACATTAAATTTTGTATTTCATTATTATCATGTTTATAGGTTAGTCAAACAAGAATCTCCACAAAGGGTTATTTAGTTTCTCAGATCGTAAAAGTCAGCATCATGGGTGTTGTCACATAGGAAAATGAATTCAGCTCAATCATTTCTTCGACTGAGTTGTTCAAAGCCCTTGTTCTTGATGCCAATAACCTCGTGTCCTAGATTGCTCAACAAGCAGTCAAAGCTACTGAAATTCTTGAGAGCAACTTCATCCTACTAAGGCAATTGTTATCCGGAGTATTAAGCTAAGATAATTACTGTTTTAGTGAACTGTAAATGACCTACAAATTTTTTTGCATTGTGGCGCCATGATGAAGTCAGCATGACGTCATATTGCCTTAAGTGCAAAGGCGCAAGAATGACCGATTGCTAAGTTCGGTGGGTTGGGCCCACTGATTTGGGTGGGTTGGAGTTGTTTTTGTTGGGGTAGGGTGATTGAATCACCCAATTGCAAAGGCAATTGGGAGGGGTGAAGTTGCTTTGATAAAGATTGAGGTGTTGGAACTATCAAGAAGACTAGCTTTGCTGAAACGTTTGTTTAATTTCTATCAAAAAGTTTGTTAACTTGTTAATTTGCCTAATTAACAAGTTAATGTATTGAGAGCACTAGTGTCGATGCAAATTTTCACCGTCTTCAGTCTTAACAAAAATGCACCTGCAAAGCAATTAACACATTTGATCAAAGATCTAAGCCTTACACGCCCACGAGGTTGGGGGGGGGGGGAGGGTTAGGCCAATGGATCTCCGATGCCTAAGTCGGTTTCTCTGAGAGAGTAAAGTGTTTAGGGTTTTTTTAGGGTAGCAAAAGCTTACCAAAATTTGGTAGAATATGGGGTATTTATGGAGAAATATTCTCAAGACTTAAATAGGAAATAATATCTTGAGATGATGGAGTAATTACCCCTAATTGATTTAAATTGGAATTACTTAATTGATTGGAATCAATCTTCAATTGGGAATGAATTAAAGATAGGATTTGGGTAATTAATCCTTATCTTTAATGCTTTGACTTTTCCTTGCCAAAGGCAGGTGAACTATGGGCAGTCGTATTCAGCTATTGGGACCTTCAAAGGTGCGAGATGGGCATAGGAGCATCTGAGAAGCTTGCCCATTTATTGAGGGCAATCTTGTCTTTCTTAGGCAAAAGTCCACGTGTCACCTCTAGAATTTTTGAGATTATTTTAGCCTCCACAAATGCCCCCACACCTGCTTGGCTGCACGTAGGAAAATGGCAGTAGGTGTAGAAATCTCAAGTTATGTAGGCTTGTAGAGTTGTTTCCCAATTTGAACTTGATCTCCTTTCTTGATTTGGAGATAGACTTCTTCTACGAAAAGGAAACTAATTGCCAACAAGGAAGATAAGCTAGAGGAAATTTTTCTTCCCTCTTCCCTAGCTTTCTTCTTCTTTTGCCCTTGCAAAGAGTAGTCTCTTGTTGTTGTTCTTCTTCTCCATGCTTCACCAAGGTAAGAAAAAATTGAATTTTCTTCTTCTTGATTTTTTGGGAGTCTTAGGACTGAAAAAATTGGCTCAACGGGGGCTGAGAAAGTGTGGCTAACGTGGCAGAGACGCCACATGGCTACAATGCACAGTGGCAGCGCGACACAGGTTCTGCTCGGCTTGGGCCGAGGTACTAGTGGCATGAGCTCGGCTCGGTGCTCAACTAGCGTGGGCCAGGAAATGGCCCAACACAGGCCAAAGGCGCAGAAGCGCGGTGCAGGGCTCGGGCCCGTTGGAGTGTAGAAGAGAGGGAGAGAAATGCAGGGCGCTCGCCCCCTCTAACAGGTGGACTAGGTCGTGGGCCATTAGGCCTGCTTGGAGTGCTACTGGGCACGAGCCCGTGCAGGTGTAGGGTGAGAAAGTGAGAAAGTTCGGCTTGGGCCAGCTCTCGGGTCTTGGTGGTATGAGCCAAGGGTCTGGGCTTGTTGGCTTAGTCTGGTGCACGAAGGAAGTGGGAAAATGAGGCGTGGGCGTCCCCTCATGTTGGGCCATACTACTTGCGAATAAAACGGTTGGGCCATAGGGCCTGGTGTTGGGGCGTAAGGCTTTCGGTCATTCATTTTTTTATTTATTTTTCTTCATACTTTTTGTAG